TGTAGTAAAAGCAATTTAACCACTCAGTAAAAAAAGTATGATTTTACAAAAATTCCGGGCTAATTACTGTTCCCACTCAAATGAGCTATTTCTCGAAAAGCTTCATCTGGAATACAACATATTCAGAGCTGTATCTAATGAAAACTTAACTTCTTGCTAATACCTCATTTTATTGTATCACATTTAAAATTGGTCTCCTTTAAGACCAGAATCAAATTATTTCTATATCCCACCCACCCGCTCTCTTTTTCCCATTGCTTTCACACTATTTATCACCTTTATTTGTGTTGTTGTGCCTAAAAATAATAGATAGGCATTTTAAGAGAGAAATAATCTCTCCAAACCTGTGAGTGACAAAACATGCTTCAGGGCATTCAAAATGAGAAATCATCATAAGCAACCATGATGCAGAATTTCGGGAGCGATGGGGGGAGGGGGGGACTGGGGGATGACAATCACAAAACAACACACTTGTACCAATAAAATGAAGCTGGATTATGTTAAATGTTCAGTAACATTTCCTAATGTTTCTTTCATTCAGAGGCTTTGCTGACATTTGAATGGAGGCCAGTTCAGAACTCTTTTTGGGTTGGGGTTCCTGAAGGGATGTAAGAGTGACAGACAGAAGGAAAAGTCAGATCCCATTTTTTCAGCTTAAACTTGTTGGTATTTATAACTCTTTGCTGTAGGTTAGCATGAACAGGAAACTCTAAACTCCTTTTTTCTCTCATTTCAGCAGTTCCATTGGACATATTATCCCAGAGAAACCACTTAGAATACCTTTATTGGTTAAGACATAAAAAAATTACTGGAAGCATAGTTATGTGTCACAGAAGGATATACATCTGAGATCTTATAAATCGTTGTTAACCTTGAAATGTTGGCGTGGGTTTTTTTCACCACATATTACCTTAATATTAAAAAAGGGACCATTAGAAAACTGTGGTCTAAAATGGCACAGAAACATTTTGGAAGACTCTCTAGAAAGGACAGAAGCAGTAGTGAGTTCAGTTTCCAAGATCTCAATCCAAGAATAGCCTGGAAATGCTGCCTGGAATGCTCCTCCAGGCAGGTGATGGTGTGCAGGCAGAGCTGGGTGCTGCTAGTCCCTGAAAGCAAAGGGCAGCAGGAGCAGAGCAAGACACTGAGCACTCCCTCACATAAGTGAGTCCATGGAAAAGGAATGCTAATGATCTGCTAATGCAAACATGGGAAATGAAATCCCATATGTAACCACGATCACATTACTGGGGTTGATTAGTCAGAGGCGAGAAGGAGGGAGCCTCCAGCCACGTGGAAAGCAGAATCTGTTCTCCAAGGCTGTAATTGGTAAGACAAAAAGCAGCAGCCTGAAACTGTATCAACAAAGATCTGGGCCAGAACGATCCTCAACAAGCAGGACAATGGAGGACTGGAAGAGGCTGGCTGGCAATTCTACAGAGAGACCGTCTTAAAAAAATTTTTAAAACAGTTTAGGCAAGTGTTTGTCTGGAATTACGCTGCCTTGAGGCAACATTACAAGTCAGGTGAGGCTGCCTCCAGCCACGGCGTACATGAATCTATGAGCAAAGCTTCAAAAACAGGTGGGGCATTTTTCTCCATTCATCTGCCAAATTAGTAGGTCTGGGATTTCCTCTTTTGTTCTAAGTAAAGACCACATGTTAACAGGCCTGCCACACAAAAAGAGGAATACAGTCAGTATCAGGGACACAGCAATGATTGCCAGTGCCTCGATTCCACCAATGCTACTGGAGAGGGCTCGCTCACAACCCTGAGCCCTGTGAACAACCCATAGACAAAGGTGAAACACAGGCACAAGAGGGAAGATGGAGAAACCCACCATGAACATGGGAATCTATCAGTATGCCGTTTATGAGCTATTAGAGGTACAAACCTGGGCTCAAAAAAAATATTTTTGACAAAAAGCCGGAAAAGTTGTTTCATAGACCAAGTCTGAAAACATTCTATGAATCTTTCAGTTTCATTTAAGAATGTAGGAGGCAGCTGTCTACAAAGCTGTCAGTAAACAAGTAAACATCCTCCTCAGAGGATATTATGTGCTTTGCCATGCTTTGACTTGTATTCCCAGTTATGAATTTCTTGCTATCCTACTTGCAACAGCCAACCTGAACATCCAATGTTAATATCCAAAAGAATATAAAAAATCCCAAGAGAATTCCAAGAACTGTCTTGTCAAGAAAAAGCAAATAATTAATTACACAGAGTGTGGTTAAAGAGATATGAAGTTAGAGACAAGAAAGTTATCAGTAAATATCCAAAGAACGCAGTTGTGAAGGAGATAAAGACATGGAAGAGGCTGATGGAAAATTGATATCAAGATTTATATGATAAGAAACTGCTCTATGATCCAACTATTTATGGATTAGACATATAGTAGACGACAAAGTTCACTTACTAGAATAAAAACACAGAGTAACTCAGACAATAAAAATACAGTTAGAAAAAAAATCTTACAATAATCAAGGTCATGAAGTAATGTACATATAGCCCAAACAAGAAAACAGCCACAAAGAAAACCAAGTATCTTGCTTCATTTTAATTTACAACATAGTTACCTTGCACAAATCACCTCACCACTACTTAAAAAGCCCTCTGAAAGGGCAGAATAATCTTGTTTTGAATTTGGTAGCATCTGCCAGCAGAGGCATCAAACTGCAGCTGAATATCTCTTTTAGCTGATCTTTGCTCAGCCATACTAAAGCTTTACAAAATTATTTTGAAGATTGACTTTTAACACTACTAATAGAAAAACCTCAGCATTTTTAGCGGAATTCAGGCAGTTTCACAATTAAAGCACATCCATAAGCTTTTTGGACTTCAGTATTTTGTGTTCTGAGTGTTTCTGACTAAGGTGGGAGGGAAACCCTGCAGCCTCTCAGGTCAGAGAACATCCTCAGACAGAAAGGAAAAGGTCCCGAAGGACTGTAAATGTCCCCTCGCTTAGGCCCGAAGTGAGTAAATGCTTACAATTTAGGGAGCAAGGACATAAAACTCCTGCCTCCCCCATTTCTAACAGGCTGGTGTTACATGCTCTGGGGATGTCAGCCAGATCATTTGTCACTTGCTCAAACCGATGAACATGTTTTCATCCACCACTAAGTGGAGCTGTTACTCTGGGAAAAGAGTTTCTCCGTATCTTCAGTGTTTAAAAAAAAAAAAAAGAAAAAAAAAGAGGTGATGGAAAGCAACCAGTTTTATAGTTGCTTTAGCTCTCAATAATTTCTGCAGTAAAACTATTTACTAAATTTATTATTCTGAGAATACCACCTCTATATCCTCCAAAACTGAGGAATAAATATCTACCTACCGATAACTATTTGGCAGTTCTTGTGAGATGAACTAAAAGCATAACTGAGGTTGTAAAGAAGTTTGCACATAACAAAAGATTACTCCCTCACTGCTCAGCAAGGCGTGAGGCAGAAAGCAGGAACAGCACAGAGCAGATGCACTACTGCCACCTCTGTATGGAACAGGCTGACATGAAAAAAGCAACACATTAGAAAGCAGGACATGAAGTCAGCCCACACCCCCCATATAACCTTCTGAAACAAAAAAATCTGCTGCAACATCACAGGAAATCCAACTATACCCAGAGGGTTTGGCTGAGAAATACACTGACATTGTTTTATTTAGAGTTAGTTGTATAGTGACAATTGGGGATGGAGACTTCCCTGACTAAAATAAACTAAGTGAGAAAGAAAAGGAAACTCCAGGAAACAGTAACTAAACTGTGTTCTGTGTTCACAAGTCTCGTAAGTGAAAATAGAAACTTGACATTCAAAAACAAAAGTATAAATAAAGCACTTTGGTTTCAGCCCTTTCAAATGTTCACTTACTGGTGATTAGAATAAACTTTAGCTTTGGATCCAAAGCACTTCTGATATTGATAAGAAAAAAGCTTCTTTAGGTAAAAAAAGATAACATGCAAAATCCATTGCTTCCCCACACTTTAGTGCTATGTGGTACTACTATTACTTGGTATAAGAGCAACTTTTTTGTCTGTTTAAAGACAACATAAAAAGTAAATAATGTTACTGAGAAACAGTCCATAATGAAACAATATTAATGAGCAATAAACACTCTGTCTTGATACCACAATCCTTTAAAATGTATTCCAAAAAGAAGTTTCCATTTCACGAAAACTCCACGTAAAGCAGCTTCCCCTTTTCTCAGTCGAGGCAGCCCCAGAGCGGAAGCTGCTGCCCAACACAGAGAAGGGGAAGGAAAAAAGTACTTCATGAAGGACTTGCTCTATGCAATGTTAAGCATTGCTGTTTGGCAAAGTGTGTTGTTTGTACAGCCCTCAGGAGCTCAGCTCTCCCTGAAGTTCTGGGGGCTCCTGCCTTGGAGAAGTCAGAGATTCATAGGAGCCAGCTTTTGGGTTTTCACTCGGTGCACAAGCCGGCTTCCCCATGCCACGGGCGGGATTGGGATCTCAGGGAGCACATCATGACTAATGCTTGTCACTACGTGACCAGGGCTAGTCCAACCTTTCCACCCTGCCTCAACCCATTCACCTATAAAATGCATGCAATGAACCTGTGCTCTCCACTAAAGAGAGGCACTCAAACCCAGGAAGGGTGCACTCCCATTGGGGATGTAGAGATGTCATAACCCAGCTCTGACTTGTTCACTCCCCTGCTCATACAAAAATAATGTGTCATAACCCACAAAACAGTGAGTCATAGCCCAGCTCTAATTTGTTTACTCCATTGCTCATGGCAAATAAATGCAAGGCAGGCTGATGCTTACAGGGAAGGAATTTAAGCATGCAGTATACTACTACCCCTCTCCTGTGTTTTAATTGTAACGTAACAATAGGTATTTTAACAAGCCTTCATTACTACAGAGCAAGGCTTTATTGTGGTTCAGCAGCTCAAATTTTACTGAAGCCTTTTTCAGCATTTGAACACCTTTTAATACTTTTAAAAGATTAAGTCTTATATGTATAAAAACCCCATAACAACATTCCAACTTACATTCTCTATGACAAACATCCATTCTTTGTCTTCAAACTCTTCCGCGTGGGGATCCTAGAAAAGCAAACCAGAGAACTTGAGTCTAAAAATAATCCAGGATGCAAGAAATTGCAACACAGCCAAGATTTTCATATACTCAGAAATATTTCTACCCACAGAAGACGACAGAGGGAAATATTTTAGCTAGGATGCAGGCTTTAATGGATATCAATAATATGATGAGCAAGTTGGGGTAAAACTGACAGTGAGGATTTAACAGAGGCTCCTACAGATAGAAACATGAGGTTGATGCTGATAAAGGCCTGTAATTCTATTTCATTTCCTCCAGTGGAAGGGAAAAAAAAAAAGATAAATCTCCCTTTAATTTTTAAGATCCACGTCCCAAATAAACACAACAAATCTATATCTCGCTGGTAACAGTGGAGAAAGCCACTTGTCCCACGTGGGGTGAGAAGATGCACACCTTCAGTAGGAATCACTCCAAGCTGCTTATGGCCAGACTCCATCAGAACAAGCAGAGATCCAGAGTCACAGGTACCTCCTTTCACTGCAGATTTCTTAAATGCCTATCCTCACAACATTTCTATTGCACCACATGTGAGCATCAGAAAACATTTTCGCCAACAGGAAGAAAAATAACAATGAAGTTCATATATTTGGCATTTGTTTTCAATTTAATGAGCTTTCAGTCTGCTGGAGTGGTTCTGTATTGTTGTCTGAAAGTAAGAAAATGATGGAGACATGAAGTCATCCCCTTCCTGCCTCTATCAAGGATCCTACTTCAAACAAAACACCTTTTTTTAAAAAAATTAAAATATTAATTTATCATCCAGTCCTAGTTCTGAACAACTGTAACAAAATAACTTCTACTCCACTTGCAAAACAGCTTCTCACACAAAGAGAATGTGGCTTGAGCCTTTCTTTTGACATGAAACCTAATTTTGCCATACCTCAATTCTATCCTATTATTTCTAGTCACAAGAAAACACTTGATTACTCCTTTGCCTCTGCAGCCTGCACACTATTGACACTTGTAGACAAACGTCACTTCCACATCATCCCATTTGCCATCATCATATACCCCTCAGCACCCGCAGAGTTTTATTGCTATTACTTGGCAACTGGTCACAACACTACACCAAGCACTGCACCAATTCCATCTGGCTGCTGTAAATTAACAAAATACAGCAATATATTGTGCTTCTACTTTATATCCATTAGTACCATGTTTCCTTCCTTTCCAGAATGCTACAAGCCTCACAATTCAATCTTCCAGACTTTGCTTCAGTCCTCATTTCGCTTTAGTTTTGCTTTGAAGTCAGACACTCAGTGGGTAGAGGTACCACAGCACTACAAATGGATCTTTTAACTAGTTCTCATCAAATACATATAATAATTTGTAAGTAATGAGTTTACAGTGTAAACAAAAAAGCAAAAAGAATTTTTTTTTTCTTTTTCCAGCACACAAAAAACTTGGGAAGTGTGCCCTTAAATAAACCTCCTCTTTGGAATAAACCGTAATAACATTTCTAGGAGGATATCATCCTATCTCCTGCAGCACATCCTTCCTACAAAACCCAGCCAGGTGGGTTCCCTGCTCTGTAAAACACTGGTTCTCATGACAGGAGGAGTCCTGCTGGGCACTAGCGTGCTCCCTGAGGGAATCCAACACCTCATCATACCACTGGCAACATCGTTAGCTGCGTATTTAACAGCTACAGCCACAGCTGTCATACATGATGCTTGTTTTAAAATGCAACACTCCCACAATGGGATGTAGTTTCAGTGAAAGGATACAGGATGTTGCTAGAAACTTATGTCAAAACGGACGATTTATTTATTTTTCTATAGGAATAAATCTTTTAAGAAGTCTTTTTTAAAAATGATACTGAGATATCTCCGTGTTCCAAATTATGCCTTGTAAATATCAGATTATGTAATTATACATCCATCACGTTAATCAAGTTTGTGGAATTCTGCATTATGTAAATAAAGCACACGATACCTGCGGGTTTGCTGTATACTGTATAAATTCTAAAGATGTAACTTTCTGTAATCCAGCCATTAAATACTTAAAATTTTCAAGAGTTAACCCGGGGCAATCACCTTTTTGTTTAATTGCTTCCTTTGATACAGCATGAAATGACATAATGAGATTTAATGGGATCATTAACCACTTTATGTTTTAATAAGCTGCTCTGTAATAAGTGACTAAACTCTTAAATATTTCATCCCGCTCGATCTTTTTTTTCTAACTCCCCCAAAAGCTATTAGGACAGGCTTGCAGGCTGACCTAAAACTGCTTCTGAAGTCAGGGCCCAATATTTTATCCCATATAACAAACAAAACCTTCATGCAAGGAAATAATGTACAAAGAAAAACAAAACTCTTCTGCCAATGGCAATAAAACTGACTCACACCTCTGAAGGCTACAGAATCAGGTGCTATGCTGTTTCTGATCATCTCATAGAGGAAATACTGTCAAATGCAAAGACTTGATGCTCAACATTTTAGCATGCAATTGAAAGCAAGTTGTGAACACTCTTGGAAAATAAATGCAAGTGTATTACCCGAAAACTCCTCCTAAAAGCTTCAAGGACTTCTCAACCCTTACCAAATGTTCAGAGAGTATGAAATATGCTGAGATATGGACACTTTGCATATGTGTAAGATATTTCAGATTTAAAGACAAATGCAGATCATTTTTTTGTTAAAGCCAAATTTCTTGTTAGTTTTAAAATGCCTCCAGAAACAGAAAACCCTTAATAAGTTTATACACATAAACTTCAGCATTTCCTTGCAACACATAAGTGACTTCACTCTTCCACTAAAATGTTTTTATCAGAAGCCCAGGGAGCACCACACAGAGTCCTATTTCTAGCTAGCCTACAAATTTAGTACATGGTCATGTAAACATGATGATTATAGAAATATCACAGTTTCTATTGCAAACAACATTTCACACTTTGGGCCCCATAACAAGTGATGTTTCTACAAATCTAGTTAATCTTTCATCTTATTTTGGATTTGAAGAGAGTAAATACCAGCAAAAAAGCCACAGCACCACATACTTCCCTCACTGGCTAACCCGTGTTCTCCATTCATTTCCCACAGAAAACTCATGTGATGAATGTAGCAAACTATTATTTGAGGACTGTACAGCTGACTATGCTTTGGAAAAAAAAATGCCATTCCAAAGAAGAATAACTCCAGGAATAATGGTTATAGCAGCCTTTCAAATGCTTGCTGTATGAAAGCATTCTTTGGTAACACGGCACACAAAACCTCACCTCCACCTGCAAGCAAATACAAGCTGGAAACACCTTAAGACAAGAGTTATAAACAGATCTCATTCCCATCCTCCTTCCTGAAAGGAAATGCTAATGAAAATTACCTAAAAAGATCAAGGAGCAAACTTCCTCATATCTTGCTGTAGTGTGAAGTGAGTTGGCAAGAGAATTTCTTTTCTATATTGCTTATTTTCTTTACCAATATACCACAGATGCAGAACTACATTCTTCCAACATTCATTATGGTTTTACCTTGAGTTAAAAACCGTATTTGGGCAAATGGACAGAACAACTTGTCGTTCCTCCTGATTTTAACACATAAAAAAAGAATCATAATTTTTAATACCAAGACATGGGTCCCATTTTCCTGTTCCTCTTTCCATCTCCATTCTGTCTCAGTATGATGCTCCTTTTCAGTATCTTCATATCTTCAACTTAGTTTTAGAGTCTTTTTTCCCTACCATTTTTTCTTCTTTTTTTTTTTTTTTCCCGGTAAGATGACCTTTGTGTTCAAAAGTAACACTCAGGTGAGAAGCAAATAGTAGAGAAATGTGCAACAGACAGGATATCACCTTACACATTTCCTATTGTGAGACCCTCAGATGATCATTTCTCCAACTCTCAGTAGAGACTTGTTTTATTCTACCAGCAAAATTCAGCCCATCTCACATTTTCCCAGTAACTGTGTTAAATGCTTTTAAAGAGACATGCTGGATCTCAACAAGCTCAGTCCTACAAGCTTTTCTCTGCAATCCCACCCCTTATCTTCTTTCTGTGACACCATTCTGCCCATCCCCCCACGCCAACTACCCAAAACCAGTCAACTCTTCTGGACTTGGGCATGGGGAGAGCAACAAAGAACAAGTCAGTAACATTTTGCTGTTCTCTGTCGACCATCAACCCCTTCCACAAGGACCTTTGTCAAGGATTAGATCCTTTCTGCAATGTATAAGGTGGTTTCAGAAGACTGAAGAAAGGTAAACTTTCTCCAATAATTCAGGTAATATTCAGAGTTATTTTTGTGTCTCTTGCAATAGGAATGAAGGACATATCAGAAAAGAAGAGACTGGTCCTTTTCCTAATCAGGAGCCAGAGTGGGTAGGGAAGATCTTCAGACTGTTACTCCCTTCCTCCTTTCTTTCTCTATGCCTCCTCCCTAAGAGTTCCTGGATTTTGAAGCTTGTCCTTCAATTAGATCACTTCATACCAGCCTTAATCTTCAGTCTTTCTTCTTGGGGAATAGCTACTTAAGGACTGTCATATTGAATCAGATCAGACGATGACAGGGTTTGGGATCTTCCTCTACCAGTGGCCTGCAGCAGATGCTCCAAGTACTCCAGCATCTGTCCCCAGCTTTTGTACTTGGCTGTTTGAAGCTGCAGAAGACTCAAAATTTGACCCAATTCTTCTCCCATTCAGTGCTGATTACAGAGGTCTGATTAGTCTAGAAAATCACATACAACTGTGATCAGCTTTAATTGGAGCTGCCAGAAAGCAGAGAGCTCTGAGCAGACCGGCAGAAACATCCCTGTGCATCAGCACACCAAGCTCACACTTTCCTGGAAAGCCTCTGGGCTAGAAAGGCAAGAAAGACTGAATGACCTTTTTTTTAAATTAGTGAGAGCATAATCTTTTACATCTTTAAACATTTAATTTTTCAATGTGCAGATGTGCTCACTTCCTTGGGCTTATGATTTTTATATCTGGCACACAACACCTTGTCTATGGAACTGTTTTTCCCTCACACGGAGTATTCTCCATAGTGTCCAGTCAAGCCACTGGTCTCTCCTAAACTGAAACAAGTATGCTCTGAACCTGAATTTGTTCTTTGCTTACAAGAAATGGCTTAATGAAGAAGTTTTGGGTTAGTTTAGGGGTTTTTTTCCCCTTCCCTGAGACAATGTATTGGCTTTGCTGCAGTGTTCCTGACAGTGCATGGCTAGTTACTACTTTCTAATCAAAGCATGATTGGCTTGGGCTTTCAAGAAGAATGACAGGGATTTATTCTGAGTATATGTGGGGACAGGAATATTTTCAACAACACAAGTATGCTTTGATCATCTATTTCATTTTTATTTTACTCCTGAGTATTTTTTGTGTGCTTAGAAAGCTATGCCTTTAAAAATGTCTTTTTCAAACTCTGTAATTAAAAGCTGATAATTGTCCCTGTTGTTGCAATTGTACATTAGTGTGATAAACCATGTACATTACCAACAAAACAAGTGTTTTTTGTAATCCAATAAAGCAAAGTCCATGCTTACTCCAGAAGAACAAACATTTTTGCTTGGGAAGTTCACTTTGCTTTTAAGCTAGAAAATAATGATGTTGCAATTTAAATCCCCACAGTACAACTGATGTTCATTTAGCTTTGCTAAAAGCACTGGGCTTGCTTGGCAGTGAAAATTTCTCATTTAAAATCTCTCTCAGTTCATAAAGATCTGTATTTGTACATAAAAACCACAGAAAAGTATACAAGTTTTCATATGTGGTAGTTAAAATTTGCTAATGCAGGGACTCTAAGAAAATAAAATTCTGGAGCGCAACCATGGAAACAACAAAAAATGGAAATTCAGCTATGGCCTTTCTGGCATTTGTGAATCTTTCCATGACAGCACTACAAATCGTGGATTTTAAATGCACAATAGGCTAATTGTTTCATGATCTTTCTTTCTCCCCAGTTGGGTTGAAAAACCCAAGGCATAACCAGCGACCAGTGTGGAGCATGGTAAAGGAAGAAGTTAAACTTTCAGAACAGATGGAACTTTTTATGCAATTAGCACTTCAGCGGCTGCATGGGCAGGAGCTAAAGCTGGTCAAGGGAAGCTGAATCCATATATCCATATGATGCTTTTCCCCACATGACTCTAGAGCATTATGAAATTTTACCAGCAGCACAGAATTAATTAAAACAAAAAGCTTATATTTATTTGAAATTAAAGGTTTCTAAAGGAAGGTTGTAGTCTCTTTAGTACTTTGCTTGGAAACAAGTTAACACCCAAAACAGGGATGTGCAGATAATGCAGAACATCTCATCTGTTGACTGATCACAGACACTTTGTTAGGCAGCTCTCAAGTGTCCACTGGAGAGGATACTCTTAACATTCTCATCAGCACTTGAAACCCTGACTTATCTCCTAATCCTACCAGCAACACATTTCAACAGCCACTTACGAATGCACTGCCACTACTGTGTGAATCATTTCCCACAACACACAGCTGTCTATCTGGAGCCCACTCTTTCCCTTTCCTGCACTGCCATTTCCAACAGCACCACTGCACTCGTTCCTTATCTGTGACTGCTACACAGCCCTGTCAGGGCAGCCAGCTCCCATCGGTGAGCTCTGCCAGGGTGGACAAGGAGTCAGCAGCTTCCCTTTGCTTTTCAGGTGGCAGTGAAAGAGAACAACTACTGCTTGTTAAACAGCATGGCCAGGCTAAAGTGTACATACTGCAAAGTGCCAAACCTTCCACAGCCACTTGCCTTCGCAGGGCGGTGGCTCCAAAAAGGACTTTTACAGAACAGCAAGACGAGCTGTCTCTTTTTCTGAGCTTTAATATTTTCAGGCTTTTTGTCTCCCTCCTCCTAGATGAAGGAACAATATAAATACTCGATTTTCAAGTCAGCTCCCCAAAAAGGCTGCTGCAGTGTGCTATTACATACTTCTCGCTGCTCCAGTGCTGACCAGACAATGCATCAGCTGTGTGAAAAACAGCTAATTCTTTCTGACTGTCTTTGCCCAGAATGTACCAGCTATGGTACATATGCCAGCTATGTGGGTGTTAGGACATGTCCTGCACTACAGCTGAAGTGCCACTTTAGCGCTGAGCCAACAAAGGCATCAGGTGACTGGGCACAGCCTATACTGGGCTAATACCATCTTCTGCCTGCAATCCCCTACCCCTCACAGCTCAATCACTCCAACAGGCTGCTGGTCTCACACAGGTACAGTGCTCCTGGTGCATCACACAGCCTGTTCAAACAGCTACTCTGTGCCACACTTGCATACCCTTACAGAGGAAAAGGTGTGCTTGGCCACATATAGGCACTCTTGCTAGAAGAGCCAGAGGATCAATTAGAGCAGATTTTACATTAAGAGCTACCTGACAGTATGATGGTTCTATGATCTCAATATTCTGATTATAAAAGCCAGGGTTCATTCCCCTGGAGATCAGTGGGTACCATTTTCAGATGGCACAGCTGCTGGAGTTATTCACACTCCTACCTCTCCTCCCAGAACAATTCTTGTGACAGGCAGGCTTGTTTTGGCAGGAGAGGAGGAAGTCCAGTGAACAGATGTGCCTGCAGAATCAGTGCTGGATAACATTAAGCTTGTAGTAATACCTGACACTGGCTCCAGAGGCCCTTCTGTCCCCTCACTAGATGGTCCTGGCCCTCGCTCTCAGTTACACAACTAACAAAGTTGTGCTGTTCTACACACGAGCAGTGCAAGTGTAAATAAAAAGGTGGGATGGTAGGAGAAGGTTGGAAGATACTTCAACTCCAAAACCACAGTATCACAGAGACCCAACAGAAACTTTCTCATTCTTCACATTTTACTGCAATCACAATCAAGAATTGTGTACATTTCTGCTTCACTTTAAATGTTGAAAATATCCAGCAGCATTTACTGTGTTGCATAATCATGTTCAGATTATACAGACATGTAGCCTTGTCACATAATGCTGTTAAGTTTCTTAATCCAATTAGAGGTCCCTGTAGCAAACAATTTTTGGTAGTGAATTTTTGAATCTCAGTTGAAGACTGTGTGTTTGCTAAGAAGAGAAACAAATTTATGATAGTTGGCATCACTGTCAACCTAAAAAGTTTGTGTTCATGGCTAATCCCAAAGACAGGAGGGAAAACAAAAAAAGACACCTCCCCTCTTTCAGGTTTAATGAACCAAGTAATAAATTCCCATTCTAAGGCTAATCAAAAGCCACATCCAAGCAGCTACTCAGAGGAGTCCCCAAGACAAAGAAATACAAATATTACTAATTAGAAAGAAGTAACTTACTGTTGCCCTAAGCTGTAAAGGGAGCAGTTATAAATAAGAACAGTCAGAGTGTAGATGGAGGCACCAGAATTAAGAACAAGAAAGAATTAATGGAATAAAAATCCCAGAAATCTTCAGCTTCCTGGTAGCCTCCTACCCTGTCACACGTGCAAAGCTGCATTGTTTATCTTTATGCAGACAGGCCTTGCCCAATGATATTAGGAAACAAATTCTAGCATCACTTCCTCCTCCTGCTTCACAGCCACAGAAACAGCCTTCTTTTTTAATAGAAAAAATGCAGTTCCAAAAAAAAAAATTCCCTGTAAAATCTTATAATTATCTGTACCACGCAAATACTCCACATCCACTCTTACAGTTGCAATCACATAAGTGCTGTGATGTTTGTGTGGCATACTAAATAATGGGAAATTAAGAGCTGGATTCTGATTCTTAGCCAATAGTGTGCACTGCAACTGAACAAGGAAGTCTAGATATTACTGCTATGACAGCTTCTGGCTTGCAGTATCTAAAGAAAACCAACCAGACTATAACCCATGCCAAGTCCTTACACATGTACTACGTGCACAGTTACACATGTACTGAATTCTGTGCCAATGACTCGCCATAATCAGCTCAATGGGTATTTTCAGCCCGTTAACTAAACTACAAAAGTAAGCTCTGGCAGGGAACAGACCATCCCTCTCTCCTGGATTTAAACTGAGGACATCAGGTTTTGCAGTTAACGACTTAAACCCTGCAAGATTAGACCTTGTGATCATAATCTGACATTTCCAGACAGAATTTTTCATATGTTGTTCATAGTTGTTTCCATATGAAATAGCAAAGATTATGCTTTTAAAAAAATCCCAAACATACCTTGAAGAGAGTCACAGTAATTTCAACATTTTCAGGTACAGGCCATACCACCACCCCGCGGTATGGGTTCTTGATTCCAGGCTGCCAGCTGTGAGCCTAAAGGAAGAAAAGAAACACTTGTCTTAAAGCCATTATAAAAGTGCTGACTCAACTCCCACAGGACCCCAGGCATGTAGGTAGAAGTAATACATCACTGCCTCCAAAAAGGTCATATTCTTATATGTATGGCTCTACTGAACACTACAAAGGACATGATTAAGAATGACAGTAAGGAAATTCAGACCACTAGCAGGCTTTTTTTTCCCCTCCACTGTACTAAAACTCACAAGGTCCTAAACTCTGCATTTTTATTACATAGAACAGGTCAGCATACTCGGAGCCTTGCAAAAGTTAAAGCTGTAAGGTCAGAACTTCTGTAGCAAGCTGAGCTTTATTTTTATTTTGTGTACAGCACATACTGCAGACTCAATCACATTTACACCTAAACAGAAGTTTTATTTCAGAAAAGAAAAGTGAAAACAATTACTTATAATGTTACTAAAACAATTAAGTTTTTAAGAATTAATATGCTGCGGTACCTACACCTAGAAAACATAAAAAACCCAACAGTTAAATAGACTGAGAACTGATCTACCTTTGAGTATCAGTATGGCTAGTCCCAAAACACACCAGGTGTGAGCATTTCTGTTTTGGAATATGTATGCCTTTTTCCAAGCTCAACTTAAATCTATTTCATGATGCCATAAGACAAATAAGGGAAGGATGTTACTGCACAAGTAACAGTTACAGAGCAGGTGTATTATTAGAGATTTGTGAAAGTTTTATCAGGAAAGAATGTCCAATCTATTTACTGTTATCTGAAGCCTAATCTCATGATTCCAAAGCAGGCCTGGATGAATTTCTGAATAACTGAACAAACAACACTGTCCGTAGCTTTACTCCACAAGCATATTTTATATGAAAAAGATATTTTGTGAGCAGCAAAACACACCACAGTAGTTGCCATCCCCACCACAGCCACTGGAGCTCCAGCTCGTGTCTCCCTCCCACAGAACCCTCAGCCCTCTGCATCGCTCTCAGCCTGCCCGATGACGTTGAGCAGACCCAAGGCAGTGATCCAGAGCCAGGCACACGCTCATCTGCCGGCTACCCTGTCCTTGGGTAGCGTCTTGTAAGATAAATCAACTCCTCCTCCATAGGAGCAGTCCATCCTCTTTCCAGATACCAATTTTCACAAAACTAACAGGAGCTCATGGTCTGTCTGAAACCTGTGCTCTCCTGCTGGTTTTGGCCAATACTGACAACTATGTCAAACTTCTGCTGTCCAAGGTCCAGGCACTGCCAGCCCGCTCAGCTGAGAATCCCTTGTTCCATCTATTAAAAAAAAAACCCAGCTAGAAAATGAGCATTCACCGGTGCAGTCAATGCTTCACTTCAAGCCCTTTATCAGCGTTTCCTCCCACCAGGAAAGTCAGTAAGACTCAATAAACATAAACGGATATATGTGTTTTTCTGTCACGGAAAGCAACAACCAGGAGACAAGCCCCAGCTAATGAGCTTTTAAAGCAAAGCTGTTCTGTGATCATGAATGTTATTAAGTCCTCCTCTGGCTTTGAAAAGTAAACACTGTATCACACAAACAGCATGATAGAAAAAGATAACATCAAAACAATGTCTGGGTTGTCGGGAAGGAGAAAGCAAAAGGGGAAAGCAAAGGAGGAGAAAGAGGAGGGTAATTTGAAATTAAGATGCTGACTGCTATTCTAATGCAACATTTCTACTGTCAGGCACTTCTATGCTGCAGTTTCTTGAAGTTACATCTGGCCTCTATCAAAAAACCTTTTCAACTCCCAAATTATAAGCCTTGACTTTTACACATGAATTGGATCAGGCCACCTCTGCAGGTGACAGGGAATTGCTGTCAGGGCTCAGCCAAGGCAAGGTGCTGCACCCGCACAGTACGTTTCCACTCTAATCCTCACCTCTAACTCCATTTCCCCTTGGGTTGTGCCTCCCAGGCCCACTTTTTCCTCATTTGCTATTAGTCTTCACCAGCCATCTCCCATTGACTTGGAAGTCAAGGCAAGAGCAGCTAAGCAGAAGTGACTGCCAGCAGCGGGTGCCTCACCCACAACCCTCCCCTTCCCCGACTTGTCTCCGAGATCTGAGGGATGAGAGCCGTGGTCTGGAAATAGAAGCAGAAGTGCTCTGTTGCATTTCAAGGCAAAAGGCAACTCTTCCCTTTTGACTGCCAGTAGAAAATGAGAGGAGACAATATAGCATGAAAGCTCTTTTAAATCAGGAAACAGGAGCTACAGGAGGGGCTGCTGAAGTACCCTATAAATAGGGCTGTGAATGACATAGTCCAACCTACGGTGTTGCTCTGGCACAAAAGTGGTGACTGGCAGAGGAGGAAATCTCTTACAGAAAGGCTGTGGAGGTGAGCCTACAGACTCACAGGGGCACTTCAGGCTATACAGTTTGGAGATTCTTTTTCTCTCTTTGAAACAACAACAGTTACAATCCAGACAGCCAACTTTGCAATCCACCACCTGTGATGTGAACATCACAACTGTCCAGTTCAAGCAAAGGAGAAAAGACAGACTTGGTATAACATTATTTCAAGAGCCTACCCTTCCAGATGCTTCATCTGCTCTCTGCCTCCTTCAGTACCACCTTGCCTCATCCTGCCTCTGTTGTGCAGGACAATTGCATGTTACTTTACCGTAAGATCCTGGAGCTGACAATAATATTTTGAGCCTGATGAAAATTATGAAACGGTTTATATTTATGAATCAAAAATATGTCCTTATAGCAAGGCTGTCAATATTGGTTTTTAAAAGCAAAAGCCACCAGAAACAGACCCACCATTATTCCTCACCTGCAGTCCCCAAGAGTGGCTTTACTGTGAGCCAGCAAACAGCTGATTTTCTTTTTCCTGAAAAATTTTTTGCCAGCTGGCTGTGATCAGACCAGCTCTGCTACTTGTCTGTGTGACAGGCCGCTCAGGGCACAAGAAGCAAGCAGGAGCTCAACTGGCTCCAACAGTGCTTAGGGCAGCTCAGCTTGTAAGGATAATCCCTCTTCTTCAGTGTTATCCAGGCAGAACACTTACACAGGAAAAGAAAAAAAAAATAATAACTCAAGAGGAAGAGCTGACATTAAGCAGCCAGATCCTTCCTCTGGTGCTTCCAGTGTGTCTTTTGAAGGGTGAGGATTGCTCCAATTTGCTCTGTGTAATGAGTCCCACCAAAGCCATCCGGGGACAGCTAGAGCTCAGTATGACCTGGCTGCTAGTGGACCTAACTGGAAAAAGAATGGACTGGGAAAAGCTGCTAATTCCCCCACTCCAGGGAAACCTCAACGGGCAGTTTGTGAATTGCTTCTTCCTTTTCTTCTGTACCACAATTCAGTATCACAAAGGGAGACAAATTAAAGACCATACTCCAGACTACAGCTTGCATCCCCATGATCATCTTGAAACCACTGTGCTTGGCCCACCAGTTAAAGAGGCTGGGCATCAGAACAACATTCCTGCCCTGGGATGCAGTCCAAAAAACCCAGCACGTGCCAAAGAGGAAAGTTCAAAGCCTTGGAAACCCCAGGCAGCCTTTGATCAACCCATTGCTGTCAGTGCCCCTTTAGAGCAGAAAAGGAACCCAGCAGATTCCCACAGGTCTTCCCATGAATGTCTTCAATTCATCAGCATGCACACGTGTTACAACTGCAGTTGTGCATCTGTGTACATATGCATCACGGTTAAAAAGCTACAGAAAGACTGTAAGCTTGGAAAATGAGCAAAAAACCCTCATTTTCACCACAGATTCTCTAGCACTGGGCTAGCTGTTTAAGAAGTTTAATTTCACACATACACATTCATGACACATTCCTTAAATATTCCTGCTGTTACTTTCACCAAATCTTGCCTCATTCACCGTCTGCAACAGATGATGCTCAGATAATGAGCTTCTTGCCCTTCTTCTCATCAAGCATTATCTGACATTATCTAGAGGGCTTCTTATCAAAAAAACCCAAACAAACAAACAAAAAAACCATCAAAACCCAGACAAACAAACAAACAAACATATAACTGTGAATGCAAAGTTATTTCTCTCATCGTTTTCTGGGAACTGCCATCACTGCACCTCAGAATGTCACCGCAAGTCAACTTTATGAGATCCCTGGAAAAAAGAAGGGTATTACGACCTCAAATTTACAAGCAGGGAAAGAATAACCAGTTTCCATTAATTTAGCAAGGTCTGCTTAAATCAGCAACACCCTCACTTTAGAGGGATTAAGCACGAAACAACCTTTGTTTTGTCTTGCAAAGCAGACTTTTTTGTCAGTCCCTATGTCTGGCACACAAAAAAATGGAGAGATACATCAAATCTAGTTTTAATACTCTACCTAGCCTCAGCCAGGAGCTTTGTACATGAGGATGGGACAAAACTGAACTCCCTGAGGCAGCATTTAGCCACAGAACACTGAGGCAGTCTTTTCTGTTCATGTCCTACACCTTCTGTAACATCCTCCAACTTCTTTATGGACAAAGCAGTTTTGCTCACCACTCAGTCCTTATGTTCTCCCTAATCACTCTCTGCTCAACAAGGCAGCAATGTGGTAGGAAAACCATTTGCAATTGCCCTACTAAAGACTGTATCATATGCCTAAAATGCATCCACCAACCATTAGAATGATTCTGACCACTTACACTTGCAACAAAACGCAATTTTATTACTTTACTAAAAAACTGAGAAGCCACAGGAGTGGCATTATGGAACTGTGTTGGTCCTGGACAGTCACCAGCATGTCAGAGTCACAACATGCCTTTGGGACTCCAGCCAGTGAAGAACCTGACAGTGACAGGCAGGGTTGGCACCAGGCAATGAAGCAGCCAGAGAGATTGCCAAGGACAGCAAAACAGGTGACCCAAGTGCTGCTTTATTGATGGTATAGCCTTGAAAAGAGGCTGGGCAGGCTACTTTTGTGTCCAACAAGGGATCCTTTCTACACCCTGCCCCCCTGCTTCTCTTGGCTCTTACTTCTTACTGTTCAAGTTCTTTCCCTCTTCCCAGCGTTGTTCCTTCTCCTTTGTG